ATGATATGTGGTGTATGATATGCGATTTATGATATATGTTATGTGGTATGTGATATTTGATATGTGATATTTGATATGTGATACTTGATATGTGATACTTGATATGTGAAATTTGATATGTGATACTTGATATGTGATACCTGATATGTGAAACTTGATATGTGATACTTGATATGTGAAACTTGATATGTGATACTTGATATGTGACACTTGTATGTGATACTTGATATGTGATATTTGATATGTGATACTTGATATGTGATACTTGATATGTGATACTTGACATGTGAAACTTGACATGTGAAACTTGACATGTGAAACTTAATATGTGACATATGATATGTGATGCATGATATGTGATACATTAAATGTGATAGATGAAATGTGACATATGATATGTGACACACGATATGTAATATATGATGTGTGATATATTATATCATATACGATATATTAATTTTTACGTTATCGTTTTAATAACTTTATATGTTCTCGAGTGTTTAAATTTAAGAATTTCTAAATTATCAAGTTTTCAATATCATATGTGATGTGTGTCCTATATCTCATTACACAGATTGTTGCCCAGGGCACTTAACCTGCCCTCCGCACCGTATCAAACGAAAGTCAATTTAAGTCACGAAGTACATTTTCTAACGAGAATTATTTAGCCACGAACGAAGAAGAAAGGTGATACAAATGAGAAATTAATAGTGCGGAGCGTGAATTGCTTTCAGATAATAGTTTTCTTGTTCGTCGAAACAGAAATTACTGTGGAGTGATGATTAAGCTTGTTTACTTACTTTGTGAAGATAATTAAATCCAACGTGGTTAGTGTACCCGATAATTGTCCGCCATGTTAATTAATTATCTGTAATTGGTAATCAGATATCGAACCACTTTTATTGTATTGTATCTCTTTCTCTGTTATTGGAGTTCTGATTCGGTCAGTTCTACAACATTTAATTTGGACAATCTGATTTTTATACCGCGTCCCTTAATTAGCACCTTTAATTGAGGATATAAGGATGAAGAATTAATTCAGGAGAAATAATAACTCTGCGCTATCAATTATAAAATTAAGCAATGTGCAGTACAATTATAATAAAGTAATGAAACGTATTAATTTTTATTTTGTTGCAACTCTATAAAATTGAATTTTTATTTAAAATTTCGTTCAATCGTAATTACACGTTAATTACAATTACAAGTGTTGCACTTTTGTACCCAATTATTTTCACAAATATTCCAAAAAGAAAATTTCAAACTCGTTACAAGCATAATTCTAATCATAGATCACAGAAAGCAACCGTATGAAATGGAGAACGAATCACGAACAAATCAAGCAAGTCCCCGGGAAATCTCAATCTCACGTGATCCTCCATTTCAACCCCAATCGCGAAACTATACCGCGAAGACGACGTTAATCAGCAAACTTACACCCCAGTCGCATTCCATTATCTCTTCCCATAGCCGGTACAACGATGTATCGTTGCAAACAGCGTGTTGTTGCTGATGGTTAACACGATTCCACGCGACACGTTGAAGAGAGGGATTCGTGTTGGCGAAACTTTCAGTCAGATTGGAACGTGGCCCGCTGACAGACCATCATCCCCTTTCCCCGAGTCTCACCCCTGCTGTGCCCACCATTTTACACGTGCACGATTCAAACATAACTTGAGGACCTAGGGTTTTTTTTTCTTAAGAATTCAAGGCTTTTTCTTAAGATCTAGGGATATTTTACTTGAGATCTAGGGAATAGGATATCTAGGAATTTGAAAATGTAGAGTGCAAGATCGATTCAAACATAATTGGGGCATCTAGGGTTTTTTTATAGGAATTCAATTTTTCTTCTAAGGATCTAGGGATATATTATCCGAGGGCTAGGGAGTTCGGGGAATGGGATATCTAAAAATTTGAAAATGTAGAGTACAAGATCGATTCGAACATAATTTGTTAAGTCTTGAATGCGAAGGAACTTTCAATTTTCGTGAAAGGAAGAAGCAGCGAAAAGAGAGGGTCTTTAATTTCCCGAAGCTTTTCCTTTCTAGCGAAACCCGTTGAAATCGATATTCACCCCCACGCGAATCGCCTGCATAGCCGGTAGGGGGTGCAAGGTAGATTGTCTCTGTCATTTACCTGTGCCTTCTCCCGTCGCGAACCCTCCACCCCGTTCTCTGAACCGAATATTCGAGCCAACCCCTTCCTTCCTTTCTTCCTACTGTAACTTGCCACCCTCCGCGTTCGACCCACCCCGCTGGCCAGTTCTGCGTGCAGCCGTCTCGCTCTAATCCAATTAAAAACGGCGAACGATCGCACGAAACAGCGGCACATCGACCACGGGAATTTTAATTGATGTTACAGCCACGTACGAGAGGGTGGTTTGGCTGCTGTTGCATACAATCCGCTGCAACTGCGCTTCCTATTGATACCGGAACGTATGGAGATTTTAGAATTTTTTTTTCTTATCTTTTCAATTTTTCATTTTTAGCGTTCTTGTGGTTTTCGAATTTTTAGGTTGGTGGTTTTAGGAAGGAGATTCGTAGGAAGGAAATTTTTGATGTAGAAATAGGGATCTAGAGAATTTTTGATGAAGCAATATGGATCTAGAGAATTTTTTATGAAGAAATAGAGGTTTAGGGAATTTTTTATGTAGGAATATGGATCTAGAGAATTTTTTATGAAGAAATAGAGGTCTAGGAAATTTTTGATGTAGAAATAGGGGTCTAGAGAATTTTTGATGAAGCAATATGGATCTAAGGAATTTTTAATGCGGGAATAGGGATCTAGTTAGTAAGTTAGGTAGTAATTGAGGTATCTAGGGAATTTTATATGTCTCCATATTTATAGCTCTATTTTAAGTCTACAGTTGTGACCCAATTTTTAAGTTTGCATACCAATAATTTAGTTTAATATCTATATGTCTGTTATTAAATTTAGAAGTCTCTATATTTATGTTCAATTTAGAAGAATGTGCACTGATAATGAAAATGACCATTTATTTTAAAAGTCTATGTTTGTAATTACATTTTTAAGTACATGTACCAATAATCTAGTTTAACATCTACATGTCTGTAATTAAATTTAGAAGTCTCTATATTTATGCTTAAATTAAAAAAAATTTATACTGATAGATCAATTTGAAAGTCTGTATTTGTAACTTAATTTTTAAGTACACGTACCAATAATTTAGTTAAATATCTACATGTTTGTAATTAAATTTAGAAGTCTATATTTATATTCAAATTTAAAAGAGTTTATTTACAGTTAAATTTAGAAGTAATGAAATAATTTTTTTAACAGAAAGTATCAGTGATTGAAACTAAAAATACAGATGAAGTTGTATGAAAGAAAATTTCAAAGTATATGCGAATGTTATAATGAAATTTGTGAAGAATATATTTTGTGTACTTAAGTTTGATAACGTTATCATTTCGATCGCGAAATTAGCGATAGGTAAAATATTTGCAGTTTCGAGACAGCATGAAATGCAGGTATTTATCACGTTCTAATGATTCTGTCAGAGAAACCTCAGGAATCTAACTATCAGTACCATAATTCGACCATAAAGCTTATCGCCGCGAGTGCAATAGCAATCTACATACTTGCCTCGTAATGAGACACAGGCACTAAAAAGTAACTTGGTCGTCGGTCACGCACAGTTCAATTTTGCCTAACGATCATAAATAACTCAATCGCTTTATGCTTTCTTCGAAAGAAACGCGGTGAGTCGTGTCGATTCTCGTAAATCACGATCGTGCCTCGTAAAACGGAATAAAGATGCTAAATCTGTCGGCTAAATGACCGTTTAACAATGTCGCGTTGTTCGATTAAAAAGGACGCAATGTTTAGTTAACGACAACGGATGTTTCTGTTCACAGAAAAATGGCCGATCTTTTGCTTATTTTTGGCGGGAACTTTCGAGCGTTGGAAATAAATCAGTGAAACAGCGTGCAAAGTGCCGCGGGCAGCTTGTGCACCGTATCTGCATTCGCAACACGGTGCATTAATTATGTATTCAATAAATTTTAAACGCATCGAAATGAATTCAAATTGCAGATTAATATTAAACGGTGTTGGCTAATTGGCCGGGCAATTACGCGGCCTTAATTAAACATTAGAAGCGGAGTCTCGTGCCGTAAGCACAGACTCGCCATCTGGCGTAAGCTTCCGGCCGATGCTTTCGAAGCTTCATCCTGTATCGACAGCTCTTTCAAAAATTAGCCGACTTTCGATAATCGAATTCAACTAGAACTTATGATCATAGCAATCAAAATAAAATCAAATCAATCGAATTCAACTACAAAACATTTTAATCTTCTACTTTCAGAAATATTTGGTTCATAAAATTATTTTAGAAAAATTTGCTGTTTTGTTTGGAATATGAAAAAGTTATAATAATTAGCTGTCAGTATGTTGAGACTTTAATTACTATATTTTTTAATCAATTTCAGTCATCAAATTGAAGCCTTAGTTATTAAATTTGAAAATAATTATTCATCAAATTGGAGCGCTAATTATTAAATTTGAAAATAATTATTCATCAAACTGGAGCTCTAATTAAACTAAAGTAAATAATTATCAACCCGAAGCTCAAATGATTAAATTTGTAAATAATTATTAATTATCAAACTAATTATTAAATCACTAATTATCAATCATCAGATTGAAGCCTAAATTATCAAATTTGTGTATAATTAATTACAAAATTCAGACTGTAATTAGTACATTTATGAACAGGTAATATTTCTCAAATTAAAGTTTCTTTCATTAAAACTTCCATTTTCATTATATTAAATGACTGATCTAAGAACTCTGCACTGAAGTTTGCCGACGGCAATATACCGGGAGTTCACAAAACTTGGCTAACTTAACAGTACATATAATTAATAATTTGTAACAGCAAGTGTTTCTAAAATTGTGTTCTAAACAAAAACTAATATGAAATGAAGAACAGAATTTTGAGGTGTATGGATAAGGAAACCAGCGCGGTTTAGAAAAGAAACATTTTATTACATTTACCTACAATCCGGATAGGCTAATATTTATACGCAAGTTACAAAGTTACATACACAACGACATATTCGTGAGTGAAAGTTGCAGGATTTTTGAGATCGTAAAATATTCTCAATCTCTGCGGATCACCCTGCTGGAAATAGGAAATACGAACGAGGGGAAGAGTAGCAATGATTCAATTAAAAACGCTCTCGTTCTTGATATGTCCATCATTGACGAATCCAATAAAAAACTTTCCCGCCAAGCGAAATCAGAATAAACTACGCAAAAGAATAACAAACCGAATAGTTAAATAATTTGTGGACTCTCGTTATATCGCCACCCTGTTACGGGCACAATTTCGAAGCAGTTCAATATATTGTCTATTTTGCGTTTCTAGAAAAACGGTGGCAATATAACGACGGTCTATTTCGTTTTTATGTATCGTGTTTCGAAAGCAGCGATTCATTCTGAAAGGAAAAATCTTCGATTCGATTCGTCAAACGACTGCTGGTCGAATATCTCGTTCACGACATCCCTTCTTTCCTCGAAAATGGTCAGACCAGTTTACGCCCGATCGAGTATTCGTGACTATACCGAGCATCGAGTGTACATTACAACATATCGACTACATTAATATTCCTCATTGACTTATGGCTGCGTTTGATTGATTATGCAGCTTGAAAACGCGATTAGCCGAGGTTAAATTTAACGGTGAGCTGCGAGTTTCGACGTCTATTGATCCACTTTACAATTTTTCTGTCTAGAAAACAGGAAACATTCGCACAAAAACGGAATCCGGATTCACTTTCCGCGAATGAAACAGGTCAGTGAATCAACGAACAGTTATCCTGGAATCCTGTCACGCTGTGCCGATATCGAACAAAAAATCGAATCGATAGATCTATTCACGGTAACATCAACAAAGGAAACTTACATTTTACCCTCCTTAAGATAAGCTGATTATGTCACTTAAACCTACGCCTAAAGTTTACGTACGCTATCCTTTCGCTCTTACTTTATCGATTAACATATCGCCTCTTTAGAACTATGCGACACGTCGTGTCCGGAGCTACGAAACGTAAGAAAAATTCGTTCCAAGCTCGTCTGGTTTCCATACACTTTTAATTAATTTATGTACAAACTGTCACCCTTTCGACACTGTTTACTCTGAAAACTTTGATGTCCTTTGGCGAAAAATTACAGGAATTCATATTACCGACCGTGGGTACAACGCGGTCGGTAAAGAAAGTTCGACACCCACCCGCGGTGGATAAAACAGAGACCTGTAATCGTCGATAATGCAGATTCCTGTCACGCTAATTCCTCCGACAGGAGTACGCCACTTAGAGTGGCGTTTCCTCCTCTTCCAGTTACCTTGGCGTCGGAGGAGGAGGTGGTGGTCATACAGCGCTGCCGGCGCAAAACGCTGTCTTGCCAGCCAATCCGGGTCCCCTCTTCCTCTTCTCGCATTCCAGCGTGCTGAAAGTATTCTGCGCGATCTGCGACTTTCGCTTAGGATTCTGTAGCGTCATGCTCCTCTGACTGGAGTTCGAGCTGGAACTCGTGCCAGGCTCGCTCACCCTCAAGATACCGGAGTGTATCGTCCCGAAATTCTGGTAAATGTACTGCGATTGTATCGCTGAGACCGAGGTGTTCTGGTTCTTCAGAGTAATGGGTACTGTCTGACCCGCTAAACTGTTGTACCGAGTGTCGTATCCGAACGGGGTGTCCAGCAGCGACTCATTTTTCTCCCCGTACGCGCTCAGTCTGGAGTCCAGCAGACCCTCCTTGTCGGTAAAACCGCTCAACCTGGAGTCCACCACGTTCTGCTCCGTCGTCCTAGGAGAGAAGTCCGAGTACCGCGGTTCAAGACCCGCAGTATGCTCCTTGCTCTCCGTGAACGCGATCATGTTCTGCCTAGAGTCCGACAGGATCCCCGAATCGATCAAACCTTCCTTATCGGCGAAGCCGCTTAACCGTGAGTCGATAACGCTCGCCTCGGACTTGTCGGTAAAAGTGTAACGCGGGTCTGGGTTCTTCGAGCTCGGGTACGCCGGTAACACGTGAGACAGATCTGCCTTATCGACGTAGCTGATGGCTTGAGGGTTCGACGCGCAGATATCCGGCGCTGTCTTGCAGAGTAATGAGGTTCCTTCCTCGGGAGCTCTTTGAGACGCTGAAATAATTATACGAATTGATCGTCTGCGATGCGAGGAAAGCGTTAACAGGTTTGATAGTTACTTTTCGAGGACTGGCCGAAACCTCGGGTCTGAGAGGGCCCCGGTGACTTCTGGTGCGCTCGGACGAGGTACTCGGAACTTAGACCTCGCTGCTCTCGCAATTTCCTTTCGGCACCGGGAACCATTACTCTTACCTGAAAGCGAAACTGAATTAGGATCGAAGGCGGGGAAAGACATATTTGAGAAATATGGAGGTGCACGTTCGAATCGATTGGTCTTAATCAATTGTAGTCTAATGAAGAGTAGAGTCTAGTTTGAAACAAAATTTTTATGTGGCTCTTAGATGAAGATGTCATACATGAATTTGCATATTCACATTGACTGATGGATTTAATCAATTGTTGTATGAGGATGAGTAGCTTATTTTCTTGTAACAATAAACAATATTTTCATGCGACCCATGATTTTATATGACATATTTGAATTTGGACATCCACATCGACTGAAAGTCTTAAACAATTGTGGTCTGACAAAGAGAAGACTAGTTTTATGTAATTTTAAACAAAATTTTCATGTGAGCCCTAATGTTAGCTGTCATATCTGAATTTGCACATCCACATCGACTGAAGGTCTTAAACAATTGTGGTCTGACAAAGAGAAGACTAGTTTCATGTAATTTTAAACAAAATTTTCATGTGAGCCCTAATGATAGCTGTCATGTCTGAATTTGCACATCCAAGTCGACTGAAGGTCTCAGACAATTGTAGTCGAACAAAGAGAAGACTAGTTTCAAGTAATTTTAAACAAAATTTTCATGTGAACCCTGATGTTAACTGTCATATCTGAATTTGCACATCCAAATCGACTGATGGTCTAAAGCAATTGTAATCTAACAAAGAGAAGACTAGTTTCATGTAATTTTTAGCAAAATTTTTATGTGACCCATGATGTTATCTGTCAGATGTAATTAATGACAGCATATGTCTCCTAACTTTCATACATGAATTCCAAAAATTGTGACAAGGCTCGTGAACTTGATATGACATGAAACTTGAATTTTTGACCAACTATGTGCAACTCTGTAAGATTAAAAGATAATGTAAAATTGATGTGTAGGTAAATAGGGTTTGTTTCCTTACCATTTCTTCGACAGTCGGAAAACGCGCCATGTATCCGAATATCGTTAAAACAGCGGCCACTTCCGCCAAGATCAAAGCCAGCCCCGACAACTGAAGACACCAGCCGTACTGATATTGTGGGAAACCGTTATCGTCGGTCTGCATACTCGACGTCGAAGGAAGACTATATTTTCTAGGTAGTTCGAGCGATGCATCTGATAAAGCTGACGCGAGTACTATCAGACCACCTCCCAACGAGAGTCCTGGAACATCAATGAAATTATTACTTGGCTTACTTCCTACTGTCTCCGATATTTATGGTTCGGAATGAAGTCGCTCGAACAGCCATGAATTATTGTTAGAATTGGACGAGATAAAGTTTGTTAGTAGAATTTACTGTTCTTGTTATCGATTTGATTAGTTTGCATCGGAGTATCATTTCTCTGGCATCAGCAGGTCTAGCTTTGCTGTTTTGATAAGGCAGTTATGGAGATAATTTATATTTTATTGTTACGTTGATAAGACGGGAATTTATGTTTTAGACGAGACTGTAACAAGGATTTTACGGATCGAATTTATTGTTATTTTGACGAGACTTTACAGCGGGCTATTAAGACACGAAAAGATTTTCTTTTTCTCGCGAGAAGGTGGGTGAAAACTCACGGAACGATTGCTCGTAAGCCAACTTCAGAGGCTTCAAATCTTACTTTTATTATGGCCGATCGTATCTGTTTAAGCCGAGGCAAACGATTCCGTTGTGTCATCGTAAATGCAGCAGTTTACAGCGGTAATGCGAAACGAATGGAACCGTTAAAATTGATTGCCACCATAAAATTTGTCACGTACCCTGCGTTTTAATTGTGCCGTAGATCGATAGCGAGTCGCAATATTTTTAAGCCGACAAATTTATTAAAATAGAGAATTCGTTACGAATATGTTAATGGACACTATTACCAAATCATCTGCCATCTTCTGAGCTCTCAACACTCAACCCTTATTTCTAGTCTTCTAAATATTTTCAAAACCTTCAAAATTTACACTAATTCGATTTATAAAGATGCTAAAAATTGTATCCGTATATATTCCCCCAAGGAAGTAAAGTAAAAATGAAATTTTTCAGATAATCCAGACTTTAAAACACCGGAATTATTGCTTCTTGTTTCTGGTTTCCGCTGATTCAGAGTGCGAAACTCGCACTTTCACGTGTTTCCTCTTCGAGAACGAGTTTCTTTTTTCCTGCGAACGCATCAGAAAGCAGGAGCACCATAAGTCTTGTCTCTCCATTTACTCTCGATCCTGGTTTCTCCCGGGAAAAGGAGTCACATATAAATTTACATACGTGAGAAATAAAGTTTACGTCTTATCAGTCTGGATCATCGTTAAAAATTCGTAGTCATGTTTGTCGATATTGAGTAGCTGTTTATAGACATTTACAGCTGTGTGTAAGTATTTTGAACATTGAGAAACGTGTGGAAATGTTTAAGAGCATTTCCAGACGTTCATGAACTGACACATATTTATAAATATTTGTGAGACGTTTAAAAATATTTGTGAACACTTGGAGATGTTTACAGACATTTACAAATACTTGTAGACACTTGCAGATGTTTATGGATGTTTTTTAAATATTCACAAACACACAAAACATTAAGAGATCCCTCAAGACATTTGAAAACATGAAAAAATACTGGAAGACATTTGGAAATATCTGTTAACATTTCAAGACTGTCTTACAAAATTTAAAAACATTTGCAAATGTTTAAAAATATTTGAAGAAATTTAAAAATATAAATCTCCACAAAAATAGTAAAAATGTCAGAAAATAAAATTAACGATAAAAGTAAGATTTTCTGGAAAATTTGTAATAGTACATAAGATGAACCTGTCACATTTTGAGAGTATTTTGACGAGAACATGGCGTCGCGTTCTTTCTCGAGCTAATTATTTCTCGCCCGTCGACGTTTGTTTTCGAAGACGAGTGAAATTAGGTCGCAGCAGCTAACTAGGGCTAATTGATAAACAGCGTTTGGCCTGGTATACTTACAAATGAATTCGGTGAATAGGGAAACGCGAGGCTGACAAGCTGCGCGTTAATTAAACCTCTTCGCGTATAGAAATCCGATTCGTCGATACGGAGCCGGGTTTTTGTTCTATCCACGGTAAAATACGTGTGAAATGCTGGGTCGCGTGTTTCAGAACGTACGGTTACGAATGAATGCGAACTTCCGATCAGGATCATTCAATTCTTTCGCTATTTTATTGGAACGGCAGAAAAAGAAATTACTTGTCGAAAGTTTAAGCGTTCGATTATGCGACTTGTATTGGGGAATATCCGTCATTATAAATTCTCTAATTAGGGAAGGTAGTGATAGGAATTATTTTAGTTATTTGGAGATTTGGAAATTTGGGGATTTAGAAATTTGAGAATGTATGGAAGGAGATATGTAGATATTTGGAAGTGTAGAGATGTAGAATTGGACAATGTGGGAATAGGAGAATGTGGGAGTTGGACAATGTGGGAATTGGACAATGTGGGAATAGGACAATGTAGGAATAGGACAATGTGGGAATTGGACAATGTGGGAATTGGAGAATGTGGGAACTGGACAATGTAGGAATAGGACAATGTGGGAATAGGACAATGTGGGAATTGGATAACGTGGGAATAGGACAATGTGGGAAATGGACAATGTGAGAAATGGGGAACGTGGGAATTGGGCAACGTGGAAATTGGGGAATGTGGGAATTGGACAATGTGGGAATAGGAGAATGTGGGAACTGGACAATGTAGGAATAGGACAATGTGGGAATTGGACAATTTGGGAATTGGGGAACGTGGAAATTGGGAAATGTGGGAATTGGACAATGTGGGAATTGGGGAACGTGGAAATTGGAGAATGTGGGAATTGGACAATGTGGGAATAGGACAATGTGGGAATTGGACAATGTGGGAATTGGGGAACGTGGAAATTGAGAAATGTGGGAATTGGACGATGTGAAAATTGGGGAACGTGGAAATTGGGCAATGTGGAAACTGGACAATGTGGGAGTTGGACAATGTGATAATTTGAAAACATAATAATTTAGAACTGTAGAAATTTGTAAATATTAATCCACCAAATTCACACACCACAAAATCACGCCCCAAAAAATGATACATCCCCTAAAATAAATAAAAGCCATTTATAAAAACCTCCTTATAATCTTAATTATTTCCGCGTTTAAAATTACCGTTCGCGAGCCGCGTGCGCGAATAATACGTGCTTCGAATTGGAACGGAGCGTAAACCGCGGTCGAAAACGACAAATGTACGTCTGATTGTGAAAGGTATGGAAGCGTTAATTGAAATTTAAATTCATCAGACACATTTTCAGCGTTCAGCTAGAGACGCACGAATGAAATATGCATGCTTTTTATGCGCGCCAATTTAACAAGCCAAAGTGGCAATCAATTATTGAAATTAATCACCTGCGGCAAATAAACACGTAATCTATTTCTGGCTGTACGTCGGATAATTGCTCGTTTGTGAAAAAAACAAAGAGGTAAGAAATAGCTGATTACCAACGGAATTAATTTCCCGCCGATAAATTATCGGGCTCACTTTGATACTTTATTCGAATGATTATCAAAATACGAAGTTTAATAAATGGAAATTGTGCGCGGGTTAATGTATCATTTGTTTTAATTTATTCAAACTTTTAAGTCCATTTTAAATTTCATAAGCCTTACAAAATAAAAAACGAATTATTATTACTTCCACACTTTAAGAATGAGGATTCAGAATTTGCAAATAGAAATTACTATAACCTTAAATAATATGCAATTACGTTATTGAAGTCAGCGCATATTTTCTAATCCCCTCACGTTCTGAACGTGGCATCGACATGGCACTGACAGTCAATAAATGTCAATAAAAACGTAGGTGACATCGAATCGACAGGCACGTCTGTTCTCGTTACTATTGTGTTATTTCTGCTGTCATTGTATATCAACAAAAAAGAAAAATGGATGAAGAAATTACAACAATCCATTTCTATAAACATTTTTGTTTAAGTCACTCTTTGCATTTAATGGGAAAAGAATTCTTTGGATGTGGACTCTTTAACTGCTTGTGAAAAACTGCGACTTTAAAGCAATGTTTAAAACTTAATACTTGAATTTCATTTTCAAAGTAATATACTTAAGATGTCATAGTTTAAATTTCATATTTAAAATTTTATATTTAAAACTTCATACTTCAAACTTCATAATAGAAACTTGATCCTTGAAACTTAATACTTGAAATTTGATTCTTGAAACTTGATACCTCAAACTTGATATCTGAAACTTGATACCTCAAACTTGATATCTGAAACTTGATTCTTGAAATATGATCCTTGAAACTTGATTCTCGAGACATAATACTTGAAACAAGATACTTAAAACTTAAACTTCAAAAGAAAGAATTACAAATAATATAAAAAAATAGAGTTCCAATGAAGTTACTAAAAATGAAAGAATGAACAGAAACGTTGTTTTCATGGTAGAAGTAGCAGGGTTCATGTTTAGAAAGAGACGATGTAGTTTTAAGATAGTTCCAGATAAAATAGTAACATTTCGTAAGAAGTTTACATAGTACGGTTATCGTTATCAGAGTTGGGTGAAGAATAAACAAAATATTTTATGCTACGGCGCAGTGAAGGCGAACTATAAACGGTCAGACGCAGTAGTAGCGGACTGCACGAGTCAGCCATAAGAATTCCAAAGCCCAAGCGCACGGTTAGTATACGAGCTCCGAATACAAGCTTTACCCTCTATCTATAAGTTCTTAGATAAGAGATAGGGAATAATAACTGTTAAATATGTTCTCGAGACAGTTTCCCGTGGAAATACTCTGGGAATCGAGCGGAAAGAGGTTGAAGCACGTCTTATATCACTTTTTCGTGGAAAATTTTCTACTGTATTATTTACTTAGAATTAGATATCATTTATGGTTGTTAATTTTCTGGGTTTTGAGTCGTAAAAAAGAAGGTGAAATGATCTCAATAATTATGTATAGTAATATTAAAATATTAAGTGCGTGTTGCGTGACAGTTTCAGTATATAACGATTAAACGATGAGAATCATTAATATTCCCAATTAGTGAATATAAGTGGAGTGTAAGTAACAGTAAGAAATAAATTTCACTTCAAACGACGAAGCTTGATATCTGAAACCTGATACTTGGAACTTGATACTTCATACTTGAAACTTGATATCTGAAACCTGATACTTGGGGCTTGA